TACAAAAGTCGATTGCTTTGGTACCACTGTCACATTCGTGTTTCAACCGTGAAGCAATTGTGTTTGCATGCTGTGTTTCGGTTTGAAGGGTGGGATATGGCGTGAATTTACTGGGTAGAAAGGAATAACACCTAAGTCCTCAGGAATGGCAACGCATGGGGGGTATCATGGGCGAAACAGTGTACTCTGTTATGTCCATGGTACTGCTTATGTCTATAGGCGACGGTTACCACTTTCCATCAGGTGGGCCGTCAGCTTGTTTGCCATTCTAAGTTGTATAAAAAAAAAAAAAAAAATTTTTGTCACAATTGAAGGTACTTTTTTGTGATGAAAAATTATGTTTCGATTTTAAAATTTGATTTTTTTGTATGTCGCTTGGAAGGTAAACTGAGGATACTGTTCATCTGATGGAAAGTGGTAAGCATTGTTTATAGCTATAAATTATGGAAACCATAGAATACAAGTTGACAGTAATGGCTCCTCTGTGTGTTGCCATTCACGAGGACTAATGTAATATTTAGACCTCCACTCAGTAATTCAAAACGTACAGACATATTTATGTATGTAATTGTATGATCATAATATTTGATTTCATTGTATGCAGTTAATTTATGTGTTAATTTACATACATACATTTATAACTGTTTTCCCAAACGTCGACTGATGTAGAAAATTACAGAACGAAACTCGCATTTTGTACTCTTTATATTTTAACTAGCGTCCCACCCGGGCTTCGCACGGGTGCAGTGCTGATACTAAATATTGGGTATATTTAGTATACAGTTTACAGCTTTTTTGTCATTAGATAATACAAACATGATAAAGTGCTGTAGGGCGAATCGCGGCCTTTGACGCACTATGTGCCTGCATTTTAAATCGGTAATACCTTCGGAAATATTCATTTAAATTAAATGCTGTAATGAGCCATATTGATCAATATTAAATGGACAATGTAACTAAGGTACTTAATTGGATAAAAATTAATGCTGTATTGCTTAAAATCACTTTGCAAAAAAGCCATTTTTTTTCCGTAAAATGTAAAGGATAAAAAATGCTTATTGTGGGTTATCCTTAAGAGATAGACATATACCATCGCGGACTTTTTTGTTGACTTTTTTAAGGTGTAAAATACTGTAGTACATTATTTTGATTTATCTTGTTAGGTTCAGCCAACGTTTGCAATGTAAGCGTAAAAAAATTTACTTATTTACGACATCACATTAGAAACCTCTAAATTTATTAGTGTTTCTCTACAATATTATGCATGTATTATACATATAAACCTTCCTCTTGAATCACTTTATCTACTGAAAGAAACTGCTTCAAAATCCGTTGCGTAGTTTTAAAGATTTAAGCATACATAGGAACGGACAGAGAGCGACAGCGACTTTAAACTATGTAGTGATGATGTAATAACCACCTTTTTGACTTACGATCTCCACTAGTTTCGGTATCAATTCGTGACCCTTAGTCATGAGTGACTGTGACGCGAGCACGAGCCTGACTGGCAATTGACTCAGGCTCGTATTGGTCGAGTTTTTTTTTTTTATATACAAGTAAACCGATATTTTTTTTATATTAAAATATAATGTGTGCTTATTTAAACTTTATTGTATTGTTAATACAATTTTTACTATTTATATTTATTTCTCATATATTTTCAAGGGATAACACCTGAGTCCTCAGAAATGGCAAAGCATGGGGGGTATCATGGACGAAACAGTATACTTTATTATGTCCATGGTACTGCTCATGTGTATAGTCGACGGTTACCACTTTCCATCAGGTAGGCCGTCAGCTTGTTTGCCATTCTAAGTTGTATAAAAAAAAAGTACATTATTGCGATTTAGCGCGACGCGATTGCAGGTAAATTGTACCTGAATACTTGATTTTTGTTCCCGACGTTTTGTTTTTTTTTTATATTATTATACACAACCATTCATTTGCAAGATATTATGGAGATACCTCGACTAACTAGATTAACTAATTAAAAACGCTGATTTAAGCTGATTTCCCTAAATAAAAATGCAAATACATCTGTCAACTGTGTCACACAAGTCCACCGGGAACATATTCAATTAAAGTTTAGTAAGGATTGAATTTTTACAGAACTTTCTCCATTTGAAACGTGATTCGAAAATATTGTTCAGTCGCGGATTTTACACTACATTTTATATTGTTTTTTTTTTTTAAACATAGGGGACAAACGAGCATGCTGCTCAGCTGATGGTAAGTGACTACCGACTAACCGACTACTACATAAGCACCCGCAACACCAGAGGATTCACAGGTGTGCTGATGGCATTTTTAAAAGGAATATAGATGGATATACACCAGAGGGAGACTTTGCACAAAAGTCGACTGCTTGGGTACCTCTGTCCCATTCGTGTTTCAACCGTGAAGCAGTTGTGTTTGCATGGCTATGTTTCGGTTTGATGGGTGGGATATGGCGTGAATTTACTGGGTACAGAGGAATAACACCTGAGTCCTCAGGAATGGCAGCGCATGGGGAGTATCATGGGCGAAACAGTATACTCAAGAAATAATCATTTAATATAATACTCTTTTCTTGAAGATTACTATTGTGGTTTCATAAATTGTTTTATTTTATATTGTAGTTTATGTGTAAATAAACCGTCTGTATTCGCGTGGTCCCGGCATAGAATAGGCTACCCCTTCCTATCGGATGGACAGCAACATCCCTCTTAACATATTAAGATGTTTTAACCTCTCTATAAGTCAAACTGCGGTTGCCAACCTGCCTGCCAAGCGTGGCAGCTAATTGCCAAATTCCGCTTGTGGGGAAGGCTTATGTCCAGCAGTGGACAGTTAATGGTTGATATGATTGTGATACACAAAACATTCAAATATTTTATATTTATAATAAAGTTTAGATTATTTATAATCGATATTGCTTGAGATATCTTTTTATAGTAACAAAGGATCAGTTTCCGACGGATCAATTATAGTAATTACGACGTGATTGAATCTTTGAACACTAATTTTACTTCTAATTTTATTAAAATAATAAAATTGTAATTAAACGCTATCTTTACTTAGGAGATATTAAAAAAAAATTGTGAGGATTTAAGATTAATAGATGCCAAAACAAAATTTTTTTTAGACTTTTTATATATCGATATGTAATTTTGTTCCGGCAAAATTTACTGCACCAAATTGGCTGTGGTTTTCACAGTTGTGTCCCTAATAGTTTAACTTGAAGTTTAAAATATAAAAGAAATATGTTTGAAAAATCCTACGGAAAAGTGAAATATTTTGAATTACTGTGCGAAGCCGACGCGGGCAAGTTTCAAATATTTTCAGTTATAAAAATGTATAATAAATTATTAAATGATTAAAATTATTTATTTAAAAATATTTATATAATATATATATAATATTATGTATAACAAAATTTTGTGCATATCACTCTTATGTTAAACACAGTTTTTGTTCCGTTAATATTTTACACAATTTCTATATATCTCTAGATGCAAATAAAGAGTTTATCTATTTGTTATCCTTTAACACAATTATTATATTTTAAAATAAAAATAAAATATTATAAATAAATATAATATAATAAATAAACTTATACACTTAAAAATATTTTTTTAACAACATTATATTAAATTTATAATTATACATTAACTTATTAATGTTATTTAGATGAAGAATTATATATTCTAAATTGCTGAAACTAAAAACACTTAAATCCTTTTAAGGAAATGTTATACTAGTGAATGTAATTTTATTCTTAAAGAAATAAATGCGAAAATGTAACAAAAAATTCATTATTAACAATAAAATATAGCGATTCACGTATCACGTTATAACTTATACAAAATGATACGTAAAATCACCATTAGAATCATTACGATGGGACGTTTACACGTTTAAACGAATTGAAAGTTATTATAACTTTTAAAGTTTCACGGTACATGCTGTATGATTTATAAAAGATAGGAATTAACGCGATCGTTTGGGTGAACTATAATAATTTAATAGAACTATCTCGACATTTCGAGTAGTTTACATCGGCTGTAGTTATGAATAGATTGTTGAAAGAAATGAAAGAAGAAATTAAAAGAAAGAATTTAATGTAATTGAATAGTTACTTTGTATGTGTTAATTTAATTTCAAATATAGATATATAATTAATAATTAATTATCATTATTTAATAAGAATTAGATGATGAATATACATTTTATTTTGCAAGAAGTATTTTATATTATTATAGGTATTTATTGTGTAATTATTACAAAGTAAATAACCATAATAATAATATTTTTTATACAAATTTGTAATAATTACTAATTAAATATCCATAAATATAGAGATCAGGAGAAATTTTATGAATCAGTTTTGTTTTCAGTTGAGAATCCACTTTCAACATTTTATTATATTTAATTATTAAATATTCATAGAGAACGTAATATTAAAATTTGTAATATTATATATTTTTTATTTATATTATTTTTTATATAACGAGTATTAATATTTTTACAATACAGTAAAAAAGCCATATCGTTGAATAACTTACCACAGTGACAATTAAATATACGAACATAATTCAAACTAATTAATAAATATTAGATTGTAACTATTTTAAAAATATATTTAAATTCGTCTTGTATTAATTAATTAATTACTAACTGTAAAAAAAATAAATAGAATAGAACATTTTACATTTTTATTATACCGTAAACTGATAATGACTGCGCTCCTTTTTTTCAGTACATTAAAAAACCTACATTCCTAGTTGTGAACAGCAATGAATTTAAATTAAATATTATAATTAATTTAAAATTAGTCAAAACGTTTTGTTAAAATATAAAATTAATTTACTTTTTATTAAATTAAAAACTTTTTACAAACTCGACGCATTATGTATAAAGACTAAAACTTTTCTGGAACAAAACACGGAGAAGGCGAAAAAATAACGGAAATTATTTTTGCATATTCGAAATTCGAAAACATTAAAGTTTTTTTTACTCACCTGAAGTTGTTCTCGATACGTAAAGACGGCTACACACCACGAACACGTGTTAGCATGTCCCGACAGCCGTAATGATACTGCAAAGCTCCGTATCGGGCTGCCCTTATATAACCCATGACTATGCGCGGGGGTTGTTCTAATTGAAAACCATAACTTTTTTTTAATAAGGACGATATTAAATAATTAAAAAATATGCCTACGTTTGAGCGTGTGGTTTTGCAGTGAAACTAATGAGTTTAATCATAATTTGAGAATTTTTTCGACAAAAAGAACTGATTCACTTTGAATTTTAAATCGCATACGACTATATTGAAAATGAATCTTTCAATTAAAAATAATCATGCAAATCGGTTCAGTAATTTGGGACTAATCTGAGGTGCATACATACGAGTATATCACAACATAAAATGTGTTACGTGATTTTTCTGAATATTTTGTTTTTGTCCATTAAACAGATATGCGGAATTGGTGATTGAGTTTTGACATATGGCAGTGGAATTACTGGGTTTTTTTTTTAAATGGATGAAAATGGATTAACGACTATTCGAGCGTTATTGGTATATACTGGTGGAGTATCAATGAGTGATGACAGGCGAAAAGCAGATCAGTTGACCATTCGTGATAAATTCAACAAGAACTGAGGTCGACCTGACAAGGATTATTGCTAGCAATAGGGCTACTAGATCCTGTTACTAACATGTCTTTCCCTTCAATTACTAAATATTAGATGGATTGAAATTTTTTAATTTTCAACCGACTTCGAAAATAAAGAGGTATTCAATTCAGTTGTATTTTCTTTCCAATGTTTGTTAGCTCATAACTCCGTCAGTTTTAAATTGATTCGAAAAATTATTTTTTTTTATCCGCAAGGAATGTACTTATAGATTTTTTGGCGTGAATTTACTGGGTACATAGGAATAACACCTGAGTCCTCAGGAATGGCAACGCATGGGGGGTATCATGGGCGAAACAGTATACTCTGTTGTGTCCATGGTACTGCTCATGTGTATAGACGACGGTTACGACTTTCCATCAGGTGGGGCGTCAGCTTGTTTGCCATGTTAAGTTGTATAAAAAAAAGATTGATGCAGTAGAATTTTTTATTAAAATCAGTTTACTCATAATACCGTCATCATTTTAAATTGATTTTAAATTTTACTTTTTTTTTATCTAAATGGATTTACTTATAGATTGGTCCCTGATTCTATTAAAATGGAATAGAATAGAAAACATTTATTGCCAGTAAACACACAATTATAATATAAAATATAGATACCATATACTAAAAGTGTCCCATACTAGGCAAAACTATAAACTTCACAAGGAAACGAAATATTAGTAATTTTTCATATACATTATGCAATTGTGTCTTTGATAATGTACAAACAATTAAAGATTTAGGTCTTACATTGGATACAAGACTTGTGCTTGATACACATATTGATAATATTGTTGCTAAGGCATACAGAATGTATGGTTTTGTAATGAGATGTACGAATAATTTTAAGAAACCCAGTATATACTTATTTATATTTATATAAAAACCTTATTCGATCTCAATTGGAATATGCTGTAACAATATGGAATCCTTTTTATAAGTTTTATTGTGATAAAATTGAAATGGTACAAAAAAAAATTTTGCGACGTTTACAATATAAATTTTCTCATAACCGCCGTTCATATGACCAATTATTGTATGAATATAATTTGCAAGACTTAAAATCAAGGCGCATACAACTAGACATTATGATTCTGTATGATATTATTCAGGGTAAATATGACTGTATTTCATTAACAAATCAGATAAATTATAAAGTTCCAGTGCGTACACAAATGAGAAATTCACGAAGACAAGAATTGTTTGCAATTAACAGATACCGTACCAATTCCGGTATTCTTTCACCCATAAATAGAATTTTGAAAATATATAATGACAAATTTTATAATATTGATATATTTGTTACTAAACCATTAACTTTCAAAAACATGGTAGCTAAACAATTAGTAACGTCCTCCCTCTCTTACGAATTTAGTAATGCGTGCACATAATTAGTAAATTATAAAATACATATGTATATTTAAATATCTTTGTTTGTTTGTTTGTTTTGTATAATTTGTACCGGTGATGTGGTTGTGTCAATGTTATTTATAATTTAACTTAATTAATAGATACAATGGTCAGCTCCTATTCTAGGCAATATTTGCATGTTTATATACTTTCTTTCTTTATATAGCAATCTGTAGTTAACGTTGTTGGTAGTACTATTAATCACATTTAAATGTAATCTTATTATAATTATATATTGTATTACTGTTTGTTAACTCTAATAAATTAAAAAAAAAAGGAACCGGCTCAGCTGATGCTGCGATTGTCCCAGCGCAATGTGAACAGCTGCTCAGAGCTGGTTTTCAGCCAGTCCCTCTCTTAACAAAACATAACCAAAATCAGTACTATTGTTTAGTTTTTTGGTTCAAAATAACTGGTTACATTACTTTATTCTTTATTGTACACAAAGGGTTATTGAAATGTAAAAACAAACATAATAGTACACAAGGACGAGCTTATCTCCAATTGAGATTTCTTCCAGCAAACCCAATATGAGAAAAGTGACAGTTCATTAGTAGTTACAGTCATACATGTGTACCAATCGACTTAAATGTTATAGTTAAAAATAAATAAATAAAATATCCAACTGGTTATATTCCAGTTGAAGACGTTTTTTTTTCTGAGAGTTACATTTTTTAAATTATTATGTCGCAAAATTGCAGTGACTGCTTGGCTATCTGGACATTTCAAATATCACGTTGTGCATGGCGCTGTTCCCGATTATGGGCGACACTTGCCACTTTCCTTCAGGCGGGCCGTCAGCACATTACTAACTGTATCCCGCAACTTTACTCCCATTAATTTATATATATATAAAAAATTCTATTTATTAATTAAAGAACGGCCCACCTGATATAGGTATCAATTCAAAACCATTCGGCCGTTTAGGCGAAATTGAGTGACAAACATAGTATATTTAGTACTTCTCTGTTTCATATTATTTGACTAACTATAACTAACTTCTGAGACACAGGTTTTTCATACCTACTTCTATTATTAGTGGTATGAAAAATTATTCTTAGGATTCCTTCTATTATTAGAATCCCATTGCTAGCAATATACCCAAACAGGTCGACCTCCTCGCGGTTCTCCCTGGAAACTATCATGGTTAATTCCTGATGAATTAGTCATGATGGGCTAACTGGCCTGTTTTCATGCTCATCTATCACCCTTCACTGGTGCTCCGCCAGCGTATCCCGTTAGCGCAGACGGGGTTACCATACTATTTTCATCCATCAAAAAAAAATACAGATACTGTATCTGCAATATATCGATATTGCCATACCTATACCCAACCCTAGTTTATAAGCGTTCAATGAAAGTAAATTTATTTTAAAATTCCCACGGGATCGGAAAATTCCTTCTACGGGATTATAAATAGACTAATATGCCAGTTATTGACGCTCAAAGTATTATGATGGTAACATAATATTTCAGTTTCCTATTGTTATTAACGGAATATTATCTAACAGTATTGTAATTCAGTATTTCAGGAATTATAATTTGTAAGTAGTAACATATCCTTACTTGGATACAGAATCTATATATGGTAAAATATACGAATTTATGCCATATCGACCGTTAATTATTCACTGCTGAACACAGGGCTGTCAGTAGTTGCCATGATTGGCAAGCGGGTTGGCAACTGCAGTTAGGCCTTAGATATATTTTAAGACTTATTTTTTTTATGGAACTTAGAATAGAAAACTTAGAACGGCCCACCTGATGGAAAGTGGTAAACGTCGCCTATAGACATGATACCCCCCTCCCCATGCGTTGCCATTCCTGGAGGACTCAGGTGTTATTCCTCTGTTCCCTGTAAATTCACTGCTATATCCCACCCTTCGAATCAAAACAGAAACACAGCCATGGAAACACAACTGCATCACGGTAGAAACGCGAATGGGACAGAGGTGCCCAAGCTAACGACTTATGTACAAAGTCTGCCTTACTGTTTCTCTTATTTGCCTGGTAATTTTAATAAAAGTATACACATATCCGTATTTTTTTAATGGGTTATCACCCATTATGGAATAATTATTATGGAATAGTAACCCCACCAGCGCTATCGGTGTACACCAGTGAAGGATGAAGCAGGTCAGTTAGCCCATCGTGACGAATTCAACAAGAATTTTTCACGATTGTTTCCAGGGGGAACGACGTGGAGGTCGACCTAATAGGGCATATTGCTAGCAATGGGGCTGTCAAACTCCATAGTTAACAATCTCTTTCCCTCCCATATGTCCGTATTGTCTCGGCATAGAATAGGCTACCCCTTCCTATCCTGTCGGTGTCGTAAGAAGCGACTAAAGGAATTTATTGGTAGAGGAATGGGAAGCATCTCTCTACCATTAAGTTCATTTAGTGCGAAGCAAGCGACTCTCTTTAAATATCTCCAAAAGCCTAACTGCGGTTACCAACCCGCGTGCCAAGTGTGGCAATTACTGGCAAAATACTCCAATATATACTATGGTAAATACATATACAGGTGTACAGGTTCCACCATCTAAGATACGAGTCACGAACGGACATCCTAATGTAATAATCTCGATTAGATTTGAAGGGTTGAGCGTCAAATGTGAATGAACTTATGTAATATAGGAAGCGATAGGGTTGGATCAGCAAGCAACAGGCACTACGAGATAGACTACGAGATATTTTATATATATATATACTCGTAACACTTAAAATCTTCCAATTTCAGGGAATTCGTCCTTACACGCTTGAACTTAAATGGTCACGTACAGTGCGGTTTCCAAGGAATTTTCTCCAGCGAACGCTCAGGCTGTGGAAGGAGCTCACTGCCGAGGTTTTTCCTAGAAACTACAATATGGGGTTCTTCAAAAAGGATATATTAAGGTTTCTTCAGGGTCGGCAACGCGCACGTGATTAACCTTATGTTGCTAGCGTCCGTAGACTATAGTGACCGTTTATCATGAGAAGGACTGTATGTTTGTTTACTACCTTTGTGCTA